ATGTCCGTTAAGGGGATGGGCATTAGATCTAATATGTGAGATCAAAACTACGTCTTATAAAAGCCATAGATATGTCATAGTGGGCATTGATTACTTTACAAAATGGGTCACGGCAGTGCCTATGACTAATGTCGACCAAGACACCATGATTGATATGTAACTCCTTAAATCATAACAACTAACCAAGGTTCAGTGTACGTCGGCAAAAAATTAATGGAGTTTGTCGCAGAGACGTGAATTGAATTCCTAATGTCGACCCCATACTACGCATAAGATAACAACCAAGTAGAGGTTGCAAACAAAGTTATCATAAATTTGATTAAAAAAAGCACTTAGGCCAAAAACCAAGAAATTAGCATAAAAAATTGAATCAAGCACTTTAGGCTTGTAGAACTTTGCCTAAAGAAGCCACCAATTCTACACCTTTTCGACTAACATTTGGCCACAATGTAGTTTTACCCACAGAGATATCCTTATAGATTGTAAGGGTTCAAAGGCAAAATAAAATCCCGTCTGACCATTTTTGGAGCATGATGATGGATGAGATGGTCGACCTGGACGAAGAAAGACTACTTGCTTTATATGCCTTGATGAGGCTAAATAAGAAAATAGTTGAAACCTACAACAAAAAGGTTAAGTCAATAGTATTTTTTGTTGGAGATTATGTCTGTAAAGTTGTACTTCCTGTTGACAAAAAGGATAGGTTTTTTGGGAAATGGTCGACAGATTGGGAAAGACCTTTCAAAATTCTTGAGGTGTTTTCCAATAATGCATACGAGACTAAGGAATTAGGCCCTGATAACCGAACCTTGCAAAATAAATGAGAAATACTTGAAAAAGTATATGCCTATGATACAGGAAAATAGAATAACAAAATGAAAATAGTACTCAAAATGTCATTAGTTTGGCCAGAATGACAATATTACAAAAGTGCTTAAATCGACAAATAATACGAGGCCAAAACATGGGGATACTATTAATGACCTTGGAATTTGGGATAATAGTGTATTGCCATTTGCAGGTTTTAAAGACGTAGCGTTTGGTAGAAAAGTTAGTCATAATGACTGACAACAAACATAACTAAAATTACGTGGCATAAAATGCGAATAGTGACAAAGTGGTTATAAAATATGCTACATTTCTCCCCAAAGATATGGGTCGATAGTGACATTTTTGGGGGGCATCTGTTACACTTGGATTTTTCCAGCTAGTAAAAAGTCAACAAAAATTGTCAATGAAAAGACATTTGTTGTGAGAAAGCATTAATGAAATGTTTTGAAGAACATTAATGATGAAACATCGACGAACTAATAACGAGGGATCGACTGAGCCGTCGACGCAAGGAAATATGGTTTGAAGGAATCTCAGGGATAAATCCTCAAGACCTAGATCATTGGGAAAAATTCCTAGAATCTCGAAAAGGGTAGCTTTATTTCAAGAAGACCAGTCCACTGAATCACGTAAGGAGAACGACTTAGTAAATCTATAAGTCTAGAGTCCTTGATAGTCATCGTTGACAGCATGTTAGAAAGGTTATCGTCAGGGGTTCGTTGGAAGCAGTTACAACTCAACATGAGTTGACACAAATAATATCTCGCATAACACGTAAGCACACTAGAGGGAACTTGAAGGTTGAACATGGAGTAAATGTAGCAATATCCTAGTGGTCATGACCGTCGTCGACTGTTACTTTATAAATAGAATAAATAAAAGACTCATACATGGAATCAGGGGTCACAAAATTTCATACATACTCTTCATACCACTGGAGCACCCGAGTCAACGAGTGAAATAGTTGAGCGCAAAACATGTATGCATCTGCGTCCAGTCTTTTTCATTAGTCGTTTGTTTCCTTAAACTGAACATATACTTTTATTTTGCTTTGCTTAATATCATTTATTGCATTTTACCTTATCACTTATCACAACCTGACTTCATTTAAAGTATTTTTCTACGCCGTTATCATTCATGCGACAAATTCATTCAATTCACACGCATGCATGTTCACATAAACCATTTTCACAAATTGCTTTGGAGATTTTTCGAGTTAATCTCACAGACTTTCTAAACTCGTGATTGTTTACCAAAAACACCGGTAAACAGTATTCACTGATTTTTATTTGTTGTTTCATGTGGCTGGATGTGATGATAACGGGCATGGATGGAGATGGTGGATGACGGCATACTGCACAAGCATGAGAGATACATGTAGGAAGTTGCAGCAAGAGACTTACTTCTTCTTCTTTTTTGTATTTTTTTGTAAAATAAAAGAACGCATTTTGTATTTTCTTTTTGTCCCATATGAAAAATGTAAAAATTAAATTAATTAATCATAGAAATCTCTTTTGTGTGTATATATATATATATATATATATATATATATATATATATATATATATATATATATATATATATATATATATATATATATATATATATATATATATATATATATATATATATATATATATATATATATATATATATATATAAATGATGCAACTACTACTTACTTATATGAAAAATATCTTTTGTATTTGTGGTTAAAGTACTAAATACATGTATGTATATACATATAAAAAAAGCACTAATTTATTTAAAATACTCTCTTGTCCACTTATGAGCCAAAATAAATTTGACAAATAATGAAATTAAGTATTTTAAAACAAATTAAGAAAAAGGAAGACAAATGACAATAATCTTTTGCATATGAGACCTAAAGAAGTCAAAGTCATAAGTCAAATTTATTGTCTTTGACTTTCTTCAAATTCAAGATAAAGACCAAAAGTAATGCAAAATGAGGAATTACAATCACCAAAAGAGCTACCTTCTGATCTTGGACTCTTATTTTGACCTTATGGAGATGAACAACTGAATGATGAAAAGGGACATGACCAAATGAAAAGGTTGCATGAACGCAGATGAATGAATAATGTCTTGAGACTAAGGAATACTCTTGAATCCTTAGTTCATAAATGAATGATTGCTTGCTAATAAGATCAGATGAAATGCTAGAATCCCTGACCTTCTCCTAAACCCTAATAAATGGTTTTTGTTGATGAAATGCACGATCAAATGAAATGATCATCCTATGCTAGTGCAAGTGAAAACTCAAGGTAAAATTTAGAGCATGACAACTGCATGTTGTTTCAAGGTTTCATGGCCTTTTACTGGCACATGTTCGCTTGAATGCTTGAATGCTTTGACACCGTCGAGGTCGAGTTGGAGCTTTTGAAAGACATCCCAAAACAGGACACCAACATAACTTCTTAGATCTATCAAGACTCGCCTGATATGTTAGTCATAGTGCTCCATCGTGATAACCAAGAGGTCATCGTCATGAGGGTTAACCCTGATCCTCATCGAAAAAGGTAATGTCAACCTCTGTTTCCCCCAACTTTTTTTTGGGAAACTAGAGGGTATCATTTTGGCATCGAACATTTGCCTTGAATATCTTCTTCTTGCAGAATTAAAGTTTCCTCCTCCGACAAATCCTCCTTCTATGGTGTTTATGGAAACACGTGAAACATTACTGACCACCATTAAGAAGGGGATGGAAAGAGTGAAAGCGAAAGAAAGGTGTGACTCCGATTATTTTTACCTAGGCTTCATAATGGACGACACTATATTTTTTAAAAAATACAAGTGTGTGTTGTATTTTGGTAAGTTTTAGGGCATGCTCGCGGCTGCAAGAGAGCATGTATGACAATTTTTATGGTTATTTGGTAGGTCGACTCACAATGGTAAGAAGATACATTTATGGTAGTTGGATATTGAGAGGGCAAGCTCACGTGAGGTGAGAAACCCCTTTTAGTTAGATGAATTACAAGTGAATTACTTACCTCCTCTCCTGTTAGGGGAGAAGTATATATAGAGGCCTTTTGTGCCTAAGATTTCCTTATAAACGATAACTATCCACCAGTCAATAATGGACAGTTGAATCCCTATCTTCTAAGGGGTCATGAGTCAGTTATTGACCCTGACAACTCTCTAACCAAGACACGTCTTTTCACTGTGTGTTTTCCATATGGCGATGGATAAGCATTTTAGGAGACACGATTTTTTTAGAATGTTTCCATGATTCTCGCCTCTCCTTAGAGTTATAGTCACTCGCCCCTAATTAAGTCCTTCATATATATATATATATATATATATATATATATATATATATATATATATATATATATATATATATATATATATATATATATATATATATATATATATATATATATATATATATATATATATATATATATATATATATATATATATATATATATATATATATATATATCATGTTTGAATTTAAGAAAATGTGAAAATTAAATATGAAAGTATTTTAGTTATAAAAAGACAAACCCAAACATAATTTTAAAAATAAGATAAGATCTACAAACTAATTAATCTCAAACAACCAACAGCCTTAAAATGAATTATTAAAAAATATTAAATTTAAAAAGCACAAAACTCGGACATAAAAAACAAATACATTTGAACAAATTATATAAATTTATTAGATAAGAAAGCCAAAAATAAAAAAGTAATAGTAGTATTTATTTTAGAAGTCAAGAACAAAAATAAGTAAAAATACAAAATAAAATTATTTAAAAAAAACAAAACAAACTCGAACATAATTTTAGGAAAAAGATAAGATTTTCAAATAAACTAATCTTCACACATCATCAAAAAAGCATATAAAACATAAAAATAATAAAAAAGCACATAAATCGGACCTAAAAAAACAAAACAAATATATTTCCCTATATAAAAAGGTGGGTTGGTGAAATTATTAGAGTTTGGTATTGCCGCTTGAGTTTGTGTTGTTTCTTTACCACCTAACGTTTAGACGGAGTGAACGAGAATAACCAAACAAAAACAAAACCAAACAAAACAAAACCCTCTTTTTCATTCTATAACAACATTCGAAGAGAAACACAACAAACAACATCGTACATCTCACTTTCGTTGTTTTTCTTCTTCTCTTCTTCCATTCAACCATGGCTTGTGCAAAACTCAACTCTCTCTCTTCTCAATGGATCTCTAATAATCCATTCTCTTCTCGCCGTGGATCTTCCTCTGTCACCTCCACTCGCTCTGTCTCTCTACCGATTCGCGCCTCTTACTCCGATGAACTCGTTCAAACCGCCGTCAGTACCCTTTTCTGTTGATTCGCGTATTCTATTTTGTTTGGTTTGTGATTGTGTTGATTTTGTTTGGTTTGTTGTGTAGAATACTGTTGCGTCTCGTGGTCGTGGAATTCTGGCGATTGATGAGTCTAATGCAACTGCTGGGAAGCGTTTGGCGTCAATTGGATTGGATAATACTGAGGCTAATCGTCAGGCTTATAGGCAACTTCTCTTGACAACACCGGGTCTCGGCGAATATGTTTCGGGCTCGATTCTTTTCGAAGAAACTCTTTATCAGTCAACAACTGATGGGAAGAAGTTTGTGGATGTTCTCCGTGAAGGAAACATTGTACCTGGCATCAAAGTTGATAAGGTATGCTTTTTATGATTGTTTGTGAGTAATATGGGATCAAGGTTCTAATTGAATAAGCAATTTAATTAAGCGCTTATGTATAAGCTGTAAACTGTTTTCATAAGCTATACTGGAGAGTATTGGAAATAAGCGCATGTTTGTGTCAGTAGATAAGCTTAGATGAGTTTTATGTCTCAATGATTGATTGAACGCGAATTGGTTTTGTAGGGTTTGGTTCCTCTACCAGGGTCAAACAATGAATCTTGGTGCCAAGGGTTGGATGGATTGGCTTCTAGATCTGCTGAATACTACAAACAAGGTGCTCGATTTGCTAAGTGGTAAGCTATTCCTTGTGACCTTGTTACGAAACTTTGTTGGTGATAGTATGCATTGAGAAATCGAGTTTCAATGGTTGTTTGCTTTTGAATTATATAGGAGGACGGTTGTTAGCATTCCATCCGGTCCTTCTGCTTTGGCTATTAAGGAAGCAGCGTGGGGACTTGCACGATATGCTGCTATCTCTCAGGTATTCCTAGATCCTGTGAATGTTTGTTTATTGAGATTGGCTCGTCATTAGATAACGTACGTACTCTCGTGGTTTGTTTTTTAGTACTCTCTTAAACAAGCCTTCTTGTAATCCGTTGCAGGACAACGGTCTTGTTCCAATAGTTGAGCCTGAAATTCTTCTTGATGGAGACCACCCGATTGAGAGGACACTTGAAGTTGCCGAGAAGGTATGGTCAGAAGTCTTCTTCTATTTGGCCCAAAACAATGTCCTTTTTGAGGGAATTTTGCTCAAACCTAGCATGGTTACACCCGGCGCCGAGCACAAGCAAAAGGCTTCTCCAGAAACCATTGCCAAATATACACTAACCATGCTTAAAAGAAGAGTTCCTCCCGCAGTTCCAGGAATCATGGTACAGTTACCACACTTCATCTTTTAAGATTGCAGTTATGTTATCGGATTGAAATTGAGAACTTATGCTGTGTTTGTTTGTATTTACAGTTTTTGTCAGGCGGACAATCAGAAGTTGAAGCAACACTAAACCTTAATGCAATGAACCAAAGTCCGAACCCATGGCACGTGTCGTTCTCGTATGCACGAGCACTGCAGAACAGTGTGCTTAAGACATGGCAAGGTCGCCCCGAGAATGTGGAAGCGGCTCAGAAGGCTCTTTTGGTCCGAGCCAAAGCTAACTCCTTGGCTCAGCTTGGAAGATACTCGGCGGAAGGTGAAAATGAAGAAGCCAAGGCGGGAATGTTCGTGAAGGGCTATACCTACTAGAAGTTGTCCTTGATCAGTAGCAGGGAATTTTAAGGAGAGTTTTTGTTCTATTTGGTTTTTCCTAACAAATGAGTTTGAATAAAGTGAGCTAGAAAGAAGCCTTTTTCTTGGTAGATTTTGTTCTTTGTCACACTTGTATTTGGAGACTTCATATTTGGTATATTTGAACTACATTATATATTGTGATTTGTGATTCTGGTCGTTTAGTTTGTTCCTCACAGGTCTTGAGATATATAGATTTTGCCCTTACAACAAGATGCTTACCTTTTTCAATAGCCTAAAAAAATATGAACTCTATAGTTAAACCTTTTTCAATAATCTTGAGATATATAGATTATGTAAATATTTATTGCATGATATTATTAAATCTTAAATAATAATATAATAATTAAATATCTTATATTATTTCATACTATTTAATAATTATATCACACTATTTAATAGTTTTAAATATTATTTCATAATATTAATAAAATATATTTCAAAAATGGAGAAAAGAATATGAAATAATATTGCAGTCTATATAAGTTATATTCCATATGAAATAATATTGTAGACTATTCTTTACATAATACAGACTATAATATATATATATATATATATATATATATATATATATATATATATATATATATATATATATATATATATATATATATATATATATATATATATATATATATATATATATATATATATATATATATATATATATATTATATATATATATATATATATATATATATATATATATATATATAAATATATATATATATATATATATATATATATATATATATATATATATATATATATATATATATACATGTATATACATGTATATACATGTATATATATATATATATATATATATATATATATATATATATATATATATATATATATATATATGTATATATATATGTATATATGTATATATATATGTATATACATATGTATATGTATATACATATGTATATGTATATACATATGTATATACATATGTATATGTATATATATATATATATATATATATATATATATATATCTATATATATATATATATATATATATATATATATGTATATATATATATATATATATATCTATATATGTATATATATATCTATATATATATATATATCTATATATATATATATATATATATATATATATATATATATCTATATATATATATATATATATATATATATATATATATATATATATATGTATATATATATATATATATGTATATATATATATATATATATATATATATATATATATATATATATATATATATATATATATATATGTATATATATATATATATATATATATATGTATATATATATATATATATATATATATGTATATATATATATATATGTATATATATATATATATATATATATATATATATATATATATATATATATATATATATATATATATATATATATATATATATATATATATATATACATATATATATATATATATATATATATATATATATATACATATATATATATATATATATATATATATATATATATACATATATATATATATATATATATATATATATGTATATATATATATATATATATATATATATATATATATATATATGTATATATATACATATATATATATATATATATATATATATATATACATATATATATATATATATATATATATATATATATACATATATAGATATATATATATATATATATATATATATATATATATATATATATATATATATATATATATATATATATATATATATATATATATATATATATATATATATATATATATATATATATATACATATATAGATATATATATATATATATATATATATATATATATATATATATATATATATATATATATATATATATATATATATATATATATATATATATATATATATATATATATATATATATATATATATATATATATATATATATATATATATATATATATATATATATATATATATATATATACTATTTAATGTTGTAAACAAATGAATTGCCTTGCCTAATGAATACAGATTACCCTGTTAATGTCAAATTCATGGGTTTAACCTCTCTTGGGACAACATTTTTGAAACTTTTCCTTTTAAGATTTAACACCAAAACAAACAAAAAATTATAAAAAAAGGTCTAATTAGAATTTATAAATAATGAAAATAGAAAAAAAAAGAAGCTTGTCAGGTCAATTTTTTTTAGCCATATCACCTTTTTTGTAATAGAGGGGTGACATCAGAGATTAAAACCAAATGAAAATCAACATTTAAAGACTTTATAAAAAAAAAAGATTTAAGAACTAAAATAAAAAAATACACCAACTCATAAGGACCAATTGACTATTTAAGACAAAATTATATCAAAAAAATAAGATATAATGGAATATAATAGGACTTACATGCCAAAACTCTTCCAAGAACATGTCGTTTCATCAAATCAGTCATATGCTCATCATATTTGATCTTGAAGACTCTTGAAATGATATTTAGTCTATCTTGTATGTTTAAATTGTGTTTGGCCAATTCTTTTATAATTTTCGACCAATTAGGGTTACAGGTAAAGTTAGAAATAAATAAGGAAATCCTACAGAACTCTAAATGTCCATCCCATCAAAGTATAATTGTTCCATATATCTTTTGGTGCCCACTGATGACGTCTAAACCTATCATTTATTTGACCTGATTTATGCATGTTTTTCTATTGTTTTTAATTCATTTTTCTATTATTATGCTAGTTATTTACTTTGTTTTAGGAAATTCACTAATCAGGATCTGTTTGCGAAGAAACGAGGCAAAACGGATAAAAAGCGAGGAAATGGAGCATACAAGCACCTCTGGCAACTCCCGTGGCGTTCATCCTAGGGGTGCCATGGGTGGTTCACACACCAAGTAGTGGGACGACCTAGTCATGCCCAGTTTGTGAGCATGGCGGTCGCCATGAGGGTGTGGTGGTCTCCACCCTTTGGAATGTCCAAACGGTTACAAACCAGCAAAGATTGGTCTCCAAGGAATCACAAATGGTTCCTACTTTTTCTCCACGAAGTTGAAGCAGTTCCTACTTGTTGATTGAGTCTGTATCAAGTTTGGAGCACCCTTTATTTCTGCAACAATTTATTTCAATCGTTTACTTTCCTCCAAGATTTACTTTCCGCACCGCAGTTTGTATCAGATTCAAGACTCCGTTCGGATCAGGTTTATTTATGTATTCAACATTTACCTTTATTTTGTCTTGACCTTTATTTTCCTTGCCTTATTTAATCACACTTATTTCCTTCGTCTTAATTACTTTTCTTTACTTGCAATTATGTTTACTTCCGCAATTAAAACCGTTTATGTTTTGTTTTCCCTAAACATGTCCGACTAATTTACTTTATGCTGACATGTGAGGAGCGCCAATAAACAGAGCTCTACATGTCGTCTCTCTAGGATTACCTTTGTGGGCTGTTTTGGTTTAAACACAATTTTTCTAAACTTATTTTAAGCTGCCTTCACGAAAGTGATGCAGTGAAAAAGTCAGGTAAGATCGAAAGTCGTTCGACACTGAAGACTAAAATTGGTATGTCTTTGGTTAACAAACACCGCGAAAGCACTTTGTTTACCAATTAGGAAACTTTAACTTTTTTAGAAGGAGGTTTTAAAACTATTTACGGACGCGTTTATAGGCTTAGGATCCGGTACTCAAGCGAAAACTGAGGGACCCTTTTAAGTTAATATTTCCAATCAAAATTACTTTTTTATTAAGTAAAGGGTCTAACTTCTTAAAAGTGAGTTTACTACTTTAACGCGGTAAGCGCTTTCCATAAGTGACAAATGGAGAGTATAAATTAGAGAGTACGTTTGGTGTTGAATACGCGAAAGCGACAGTTCCTGCTAAATTGGTTATTTTCTAAGTAGGAAACATTGCCTCATAAGCTATCTTAGTGGAGATGATCAGAGCACTTTCGATTGATGTGAATTACATTTCAGCATTTTTATTTATTTGTTTTATTTAAATCCTTTATTTCATTTTCTTCCTTTAAAACTATTTCATTCGTCTTAGCTAAACACTGTAACAACTAGGAACAATAATCTTTGACTATTGGTCTCCGTGGAATCGATATCTTTTAAAACTACACGATAGGTTGTGCACTTAAAGTTAGTTTGTTTACACCCGATCACCTACAAATGAAGATGGCAAGACAACACACTTTTGTTTTTTGGATGACTAGTTTTTTTTGCATTGTTTGTGGTTTAGTTGTGAAGTTTATGGTACTTTTCAACTCTTAATTTGGATTGATTTTTTCTCAACTAATTTAGACGCTCTCTTTCCATCATTGTGTAGCCATCTACCAAAAATTGTTGAAATAATCTTCTAGAAGAAAACAAATTTTTTGCTTTATTAGACAATCCTTGTAATTTAAAAAATAACTCGTCTTTGATAGTTTGACAATTTTTCTTTGTAACAAGTTCATCTTTATATTGATGCATAATATTAGGTATGTAGCCATCTTCTCCATAAGAGATTTTTAAAGAGTATTGACAATTTAGGTAAATTGCATGAAACTCGTCAATTTTTTGTAATTAATCATCACACACTTGAATGATGATGTCACTTTTGCTGCTGAGTGTATATCGCCAACAATGTGGCCTGCTACTTCAGATACAATGTGGCCTGCTACTTCAGATACAATGTGTCTATTATAGAGACGATCGTCACTAGGTCTATCTAAAATAAGTTTCAATTTTAAATCTTGGTAGTTACTATCTTTTAACATATCCCTTGTTATTATATGAATGCTTTTGCATGGACATTACTTTCATCCAACATTAACTTCAACTTGGTGACAAGACTTTTGCCAATTTGTTTATTGTCTTTCGCATATATATGAGAGATTAAAATTAAAATACTATGAATTTAAGAAAAATTTGAATCGTATAAGTAGAAGTGAAATACCTGAAATATTGC